CAAAGAAAAGCAGAGGACAAAGCTTGGGCGTTGGCCCATGAGGCTGATGCCACCCCACCATTGGCAGCTCAGGCATCAGGAGACAGAGGTGGTGCAAGGGCAGCAGTTGCTTGGCACAGACGGGCAGGTGAGCTGGGCGAGTGCTCTGCACGTGTTTCCTCCCAACCAGGCTGCAGCCAATGCAGCAGGTAGGGGAAAGCGTGCAGAAAAATCACAGCAATGCAAAAGTCTCGTTTCTCTGCCAAGCTTGCCCCAATGCTGCTCCATGCCAGCCCCAGGAGGGAAGAGGATGGAGAAAACGGAGGCCGCAGAAGTGCTGCCTTTGTCCCAGGAGAGCCAAGCACTCACCCCAACAAGCCCACGCTCAGAAAGCGTAAGCTGGCCAGGGCCAAGAGGGAGAACGGCCTGTGTCCGGGACAGCAAGGATCCTGACATGACCCGAACAATGGGGAGCGAATAAAACAAAGGGATTTGTTTCCCAGAACGAAGGGGCGAACAAAGCTCAGCCTCTGTCCCTGCCAGCCCTGGCACCAGAGCACAGCTGGGCCAGGGGCAGCACGAAGCCTCCCAGCAGCTTTGTCCTCCCCAGCAGTGCCTGGAGAGAGGAGACCGGCACCAAGGGGAAGCAGCCACAGCCCAGCTTTTGCCAGGTAATGCTGGCACAGCCATCCCCCGGGCAGCTCAGTGCCCGGCTCCTTCAGACAACGAAGGGCAGGGGCTGAATCCAAGAAGGAGGTGGTCCCCACAGTCAGTAGGGGCTGGGGGTGCAGGGACCAAGCCACGGGCTAGTCCAGGGAAACGCTGTTTGCCTTCCTGCTCCCCAGGAACCACAGGAACAACTCCAAACTCTTCAGAATACGATACCCATGTGCCACTGGTTCAGCGGATCAGATCAGCATCCCTTAGGGTACACACAGAGAGCTTTGCACGAGGGACAAGAGAGGCTGCAGGTGACAATGGCTGGATAAGCAGCTCAAAACATTGGCTCTGCTGCCATCCAGGAGCACACCAGAAACCTCTGGCCTCAGGTGCCAACAGGAAGCTACTGAGGAGCAAAGAGTCACAGCTGGCATCACCCCTTGCTCAAGATGGGAGAACGAGAGAGGACCATGGAGAGCAGATATAGAGACTTTTTCAACACTCTCCCATGCTTTCTCCTGCGGCAACCAGTAAGGGGAAGGCTGCGAGGATGGGAGCATGCTAAGGAGCAGCTCTCTGCCAGCTACACTTGCTGCTACCACCTAGCAGACAGTTCTCCATCCTTAGCAGACACTTCTCCACCCTCAGCGAGCACTTCCCGAGCAGCTCTCTTGCTGCAAGGGCTCTCTTCCAGCAATTCGCAGCACAGAGCCAGCGGAGTTAGCAGCTTGGCAGCAGGCAGAGAACACCTTGCAGACGTAAGGTTCAAAGCTATACGTACTCCCATCATGGGAAACACAGAAATATCGGGCAGTCGCTTGCTGTCACGCTCAAGCAGAAGATGCTTTGCAGAAGGAAGGAGTATTATTGTCCACGTTAGGAGAGGATGTCAGTCTTTCTCCAGTGCCGCTCAGCTACAGAGACAGACTGCTGTGTTATAGGAACATGTGAACACAAAGCAATTCATTTACAGCTGGACTAACACTATTCTGAGGAGCTAACAGAGCCTGCCCCCATCTCTCACAGGGAGCCCACTGTTCCACAGAAATCAGACTGAATTCTAGCAAGAGAAACACCCAGCCATGCCTCTCCATCAACTTCAAGAGGCTGTCAATCCGCCTGCTAGCTCTCACTGCGAGGTCTGCTCCGTTTTAGCCTTTGCCACACAATTCCCTCCAGGTTCTCCCATCTCCCAGGACTCCTGAACCCAGCTTGGTTTAGCCTGCTTTGACAACGTGCCTGCACCCAGCTTCCTCATGAAGAAAACTGGATCCAAGCGCTCCAGAAGTCCAAGTGCCCCCGCCAGCTCATGCACCGTGCCTCCCGGTGCACGGGCAGCCACCAGGAACTGTCAGCAAAGCTTAAGGACTATTAAGCCTTCAAATCCGATCAGCCCAGTGGGATGAAGACACCTTCCCAGCACGCTCAGCTCCATGCTCTGGTTTCTGTGGTCACCAACAGAGATTTTTGTCTGCCCAGCCAGCACACACACACATTCCTTCTCACCCCTTCCCAACCCAGGTATCCCGCTCCCTCCTTCAACTCCCTGCATACTCACAGCTGTTGACAGGCGAGATGCCAGGGTCATCTCCAGGTTCCCCTTCAGGCCCAGTAACGCAGGTACTAAGATAAACACCTCGGTCACGTATTTGAAAACGTCCCAGTGCTGCAAGATTAAAACAAAAAAAGACAATTAAAGATTAATCATGGCTGTTAGAAACCTTTGCTTCGGACTGAGCGTCACTCACCCGCCTTTGCAACTGGCACTGCCCACACGTGGCCCTGAGCGGACAACCCAGTTCCCCTTCTGGTGCCACACTTGGAATTTTGCAGTGATTTTACTGTTTCTGACACTCATGTAGTGGTGACCACATGTTCCTG